TCAACAAAATGTATCTATACTTTCTTGATATTCTGCACCTGACTTTATGTCCAAACTGTGAAATAACAGGCTACTGGATTACACCCAGATCCTCTTAGCACAGTAGTCTGCTGATTAAGGAAGATTCACTCTGGAAACCTCCTGAAGTGTCTCTGGAGTTCTCTAAACATGACCAAGAGGCCAGTTATGAGCAGGCATGAGGTGTTTTGAAACAAAATGGTAAAGGTACATGGACTGATTTTAGTCCCAGTTCTTTGAATTTAATAACTTGCGATTATGCCCGCCTCTTCATCAAGGTGCCCCTCACTCAAACCTTGTCTGGAAGTTGGCTGAGCGGGTGACCTTGCCGCGTTGGTAAAGTCAGACTCTCACCGACAGACGACTGGTGCTTGGTGTAACTGTTCTGTGAAGCTTCCTCTGGTTGTATCTTAAGTCTTGAGTGACCTCCTTTCTCCAGCATGAGTCCACTCCTCTGCGAGATCTACAGACCTGCAAGTTCTTTTAGTTTCTGTGTTTCACGTCTTTAACAGACTAAGAAGGATACACATTATCCTGGGCTATGAAGCAAGTAGCAGCAGCTAGAGGAGTTGGGCGTCCAAGCCCAGAGGTGGCTGGTAAATCAGCAACAGTGAATCCCAGCAGGGCACAGGGGAAGGAGTCTTGAACTAGGGGTTCCAGGGCCTGGTTTTGGCCTGGACACTAGACAGCTCTATCAAATGTAAAAAGCCACATTAAAAAAAAAAAAGCCAGGTGTTTGTTTATATTTTTGGCTGCACCGAGTCTGCGTTGCTGCGTGTGGGCTCTCTCTAGTTGCAGCAAGTGGGGTCTACTCTCGAGCTGCGGTGTTTGGGCCTCTCATTGTGGTGGCTTCTCTTGTTGTGGAGCACGGGCTCTAGGGTGCTGGGAGCTCAGTAGTCATGGCACAGGGCTTAGTTGCTCCGTGGCAGCATTTAGGCTCTTCCTGGACCTGGGATTGAGCCTGAGTTCCCTGTACTGGCAGGCAGATTCATAACCACTGAACCACCAGAGAAGTCCAGCTATGGTTCTTGACATTTGCGTAAAGCAAAGGTTGGACTCACCTGAGGAGACTTCTAAAAAATTCCCATGCTCTGGCTACCCTCAGACCAACTAAACCAGAATATCTGGCACTAAAATCTAGGGCTCCCAAGTCTCTTCAGGTGATTCAAACTGGTAGCCAGTACAGAGAACCTTGCTCTGCAGAACTCAAAAGTCTGAATTTTATACCCAAATCTCTTGTCAGATACCTGAGAGTGATTGAGGGTGATATCGCCCAATGACAAACATGGCAAGATAAGGAGGCAAATAACTGAGAGCACAGATCCTCATAGACAGTGAAGTCGCTCAGCCGTGTCCAACTCTTTGCGACCCATGGAGTGTAGCCTACCAGGCTCCTCCGTCCATGGAATTTTCCAGGCAATAATACCGGAGTGGGTTGCTATTTCCTTCTCCAGGGGATCTTCCCAACCCAGGGATCGAACCCGGTCTCCCGAATTGTAGACAGACGCTCTACCGTCTGAACCACCAGGGCAGTCTATGGATCCTCATTTTGGGCATTACGATCGTTTGCGATGGAAAAACAAAAGTTTTAGAAATGAATTATTGTATATTCAAGGTTGGTTTCTTGTCCTTCTTCTTATCCAGAATTCCGGAAAAGTAATTTGGATTCAGGCAAATTCGGGTTCAGCTGGACATGCTGGATAATTCAGAGCCATGTGACTAGCTCTCATCTCCCTGACTGAAAGGTTTTTCACTGTCCCTATCGAGCGTTTGCTAATGTGGTTCTCTGTTGCCTTAATGCTAACATTGTGATGACTCTGATGTCCCTAACAGTGTGACTGTCTTCTGAAATCTCTACACCCTAAGTATCTACAAGCTGACTTAATTATTTTGAGAAGTCTCAATTCCCCACTTCATTCATATAAAATTTGAATTGGGAAGATTACTGCCCTAAGGGTCATGGCTTTCTAGGTATAAAGAGGAAAAATATTTGGCTAAACTCATGCAATATTAAAATTGCATGCTAATAATTTTTTAATGTGGTAACTATGGAAAATCATGCTTAGGTCTCCAAGCAAGGATTGTTAGCATTACTTTCTATCTGAAAAGTGTATTTTGGATTGGGTACATTTCTCCCCAGTATACACTGACCCTTGGTATTCTGCCCTCAAGTTGAGGCCCCTGGCCTGTGTGTTTGGTGTGGGCAGGGAGTACATTGGTCTTGTTCATCTTGGTATTGCACAGTTCCAGGATCGTTGAGGGCTTTCCCCAGTGGCTCAGAGGTAAAGAATCTGCCTGCAATGCAGGAGCCACAGGATATGTGGATTTGATCCCCAGGTCGGGAAGATGCCTTGGAAGAGGACATGGCAACCCACCCCAGTATTCTTGCCTGGAGAATCCCAAGGGCAGAGCAGCCTGGCAGGCTACAGTCCATAGAGTCGCAAAGAGCCAGACATGACTGAAGCAACTTAACACGCACACAGGGTTGTAAAAGGTGTTCAGTAAATGTGTTGAAAAATAAATGAAGGATTGTGTGAGATGTATACATAGTTAAGACAGAAGTAGGGTCTCTCCTATACTATAAATAAGTTTGATGTATAAGTATTCACGTTACTCCTTTGAGTCTTTTCAGACTTACCCTGTAATTATGTTTTGGGTTTTGGGTTTTTTTTTTTTTGGCCATACCACAGAGCATGTGGGATTTTTAGTTCCCCAACCAGGGATTGAACCCTCTCTGCCTGCAGTGGAAGGATGGAGTCTTAACCACTGGAAGTCTTAACCACAGGAAGTCCCTGTAATTATCTATTTAAACAATGACTAACATCAACCTGAATGAGCCCACAACTAGACAGTCTAGAGAAAGGTGCTCGGATCTTCACTTGATAAAAACTACTAAGAAATCCAAAAACCTGATAAAGAGTGAGAACTCAGGGAGTAACACCAAGGTATAATGATGTTGAACTTATTAGTATATATTGTACAGGTTATTTTTGCCACCTGTTGATGTTCGGTCAATGGACCAGCAACATCATATCAACTGGAAGCTTGTTAGAAATGCAGAATCCTGGAGCTCACCCCAGATCTACATAAATCAGATCCTGCATTTTAACAAGACCCTCCCACCCCAATGCTCTATATGCTCAGGAAAGTTTCAGAAGCATCATACAGCACAACAGATCTAGAAACATAGGTCTTCAGATTTTGCAATGATCATTTTCCAGAACATAAAACAACTATGAATGAAATGTTTAAGGGGGGAAAAAAAAGATGGAATTACAGAAATGAACTGGCAAATATTTTAGAAAGCAAACAGAACATCTGAAGTTGAAAAAAATACAACTGTTTAAAAATACTCAATAAACTGTTATAAAACAAATCAAACATGAACACCTGGGAGCCTGCTTTGGGGTTCTCTGCTCTGCAGAGGTTTGCATGTGTTTCTGCCAGGAGTCCAAAGTTTCTGCTAGCGTGGTCCCACTCCAGCCCTTATCCAGGTTCCCTGAATTAACCCAGGAATAGGGTTTGCCTCACTTCTCTGCCTTCTCACTGACTAAAGTCTCGTCTCCTGGCACCATGGATGCTGGCAGCTGTCCAAGGGAACTGCACCCTCTCTATCTACCCACCACTTTGGTTTTAGTTATTGGTTCATTACTTTATGTCATTTCCCTCTCTTTGGAGCTATGGCATAAAATATAAAACTTTTAAATGTGTGATCTAGTTGTTTCATAGTAGCAGGGCCCTACAAATTACTTGGCCCACCATACTGTAGAAAGCAGACTCTACAAAAGCTAATTGTCATTTACTAGCTCGGGTTAAATCACACACCGGATGGCTGAACCAGTCTACCAGCTCTTAGACACGAAGCATGCCCTGGCACAGATGCCGGGACCACAAAGACCTGATAGAAAAGCACAACAAAGACAGAAACCCGTGTCAATGACTATCTTTTTTGCTTGCGTCCTATCCTAGGCATAATTCATTTGCAGTGAAAGCAAAATCAGGATATGGCTTTTCAGCTCTTTCTGAATGAATCAAATATAAACTGACACCTTTCCTGAAAACATGTCAGAAAGAAACTAAATGAAAACCCTCTTGGTCTGAATAGCTTTGGACTTAATTAAGACCCTCGTTTACTTCATGGACCTAGTGTGGAGTCCTGCCCTCAAGGCCACAGGTGCCGAGCTTTGCACCAAGGAAGCGGAGCCCAGAACCAAGGACACCTCTGAAGCTGACTGAGCCCCTTTGTAACCTTGCCCAAAGCCCCCTGATCATCACGAACAAGCTCCCTGACTCCCAATTAGGCAAAGATGCCCACCCCAGCAGGCACCCTATAGCGCCCCAACCAATCACCTAATACCAACCTTCCAGAAGGAATTTTCTTTGCCTTGAGGCTATAAAAACTGGCTGCTGCTGCTACTGCTAAGTCACTTCAGTCGTGTCCAACTCTGTGCGACCCCATAGACGGCAGCCCACCAGGCTCCCCCGTCCCTGGGATTCTCCGGGCAAGCTGGCTGCTAACCCACGAAAACTGTCAGCTTTCCCTGGTCTGTCAGAGGTTGGCTCGCAGTGCCCGCTTTATCTCTGCTCTTCTTAATAAACTCACTCCCTTCTGAAATGCTCTGTCTGAAAATTCTTCTCCAACCTGTGCTAGGACTGCCTCGACACCTAGTAGATGAATATTTACACACACACACACGCACACACTCCTAGTAGGTAACTGAAGGTGACACTATAGTTCTCCATTTTATTAAAGATAAAGCTTTGGGGTTTAGAACTGGAGTCAATGTTAAGTGTCCACTAAAGCCTGCTCTTGCAGAGTTTCTTAACATCATCCCCAAGTCTTGCTCTAACTAACCCTGGGGTTGAGGAATGCTCTGGGGGAACCCATCTCTAGCAGAATTCTGACCCACTGAATGGTTCTTTTGGGGACTTCTGGCGGTGTAGGGGAGAGATAGTGGTTTTCATGGCAACCCTTGACTTACACAGCATCCAGCTTTGTCCCATTGAAAGCATGTCCTTGGACTGAAGTAAAGCCATTGTTATACAGTTTCCTATAATCAACAGAGAGAAGAAATCAGTGACCCATGAGAGGTAGTGCTGGCCCTTGGGTCGGGCTTCATTTTTTTCACTGCCAGAAATGTGCGTGAAGGTTCTCAGATCCCATCTACGAGCCCTACGAGAAAACTTTACCATATATCTTTTTTGGGACATGGAATAATATTTCCCAGTTTGAGCCCTCATTCTCCAGACTTGGCTCCTGTTTCTCAGAAGCAGATTCACTTTGATGAACAAACACTTGGCAATCATTGAAGATTTTTTAAGAAACATTTTACATATACTCAAAAAACAGAGTTTCAGGAGTTATCCCAATGTCAAAAATGGAGAAATAAGTGCAGTTTTTTATGAAGAGCACTTTAAAAGACATCATTCATCTGAATGCATAGGTTTTCTATTTTAAAATGTTATTTCACATTTGTATTCGCGTTTTTAATCCTCAGGGCTTACCACAGATTAAACGCTTAATTAAATGGTTGAGAGCTGAATTAAAGTGAACTTTAAAAACAAATCTAAGAAAGTAGATAGACCTTGGGCTTTGGGGAAATTGTAATGTTTTTAACTTGCTGCTATGTTGTTGCGATTAATCAATTTATACAGGGATTCCGAGGGCTGGACTAAAGCGTTGTCTATATTTCCTGGTCAGGTTATTGAGAGGTGGAGGTGATCTACCAAAGCCGTGCTGATGCATAGCTGTCCAGAATCAGGTTTTGTGAATTCAAAAGCAGTTCTCCCCACCCACCAAAGGGGCACAAAGCCTTGGGAGGTCTGGTCTACACAGGGCTGCAGCGGGGGCTTCCTGGGAGCTATCGGCTGGAGATGAGAGAAGCCTGCCAGGACCACAGTCAGGCACAGCTGGTGGCGATTTAGGGGAGTCTGGAAACGACTGTAGTCTGCCTCCTCTGAACTCTGGAAACACAGCAAGAAGCAGACAGGAGACTGCACGTTTGGAATGAGACCTGGGTCTGTCACTTCACAGTAGGTGATCCTGAGAACCTCTCAACCTCAATTATCCTCAGTTTTCCTTGTCTGTCAAAGTCTGATCAATTGATACCTCATCAAGAGGTTGCTGGGAGCACAGGGTCGCTAGACATTTAACACAGTGAGGTGTGGGCGCTCACGAGAAGACGGTGTTTAAAGGTCTTCCGAGACATGAGAACTTGGATTTACCTTAGGGAGTTGTGGAGGACTGAGAGGTTATCCTGTTTGTTGGTCTGTTTTGTTTGAAACAGTTACACGGTGAGTTTAATTCCAGCTACGAAGGTGTCCTGGGTAAGGGCTGCAATGCACGGGGATGCTCAGCACCGAGGTGGGAAAGCTAAGTCGTTTTTATCGGTAAGTTACTTTTTTCTGAACTAGAGATCTTGAATGAAGATGTGAGAACTCCTAATTTTGGCATTTCTGTTTCTCCAGAATTGGTTGAGAGACATAGACAATAAAAATGTTCTTTGTTGGAGTTACATTTCAGAAGATTAAATAACAATCTTACTGGACACATGGGTCTCAAAAAGGGAGATTAGTGAAGGAAGAAAAACATAGTAAAGAAAGAACCAAAGGGGCAAATTTTCACTGAAACTCTGTCCTACCAGGAAGATGGGTGCAAATTTTGCTGTTGGACACATACCCTTTCGTGTTTACAGGTTTTTGAGCATGAGCTTCAAAGAAGCAAGGACTTTTGCAGGAATGTAGAAATAATCATCTGAAAAGCTAGTGGACCAGCCGCGGCATCCCTGCTTCTAGATTTCAGGAAAGTTGAGGTTCCCTCATTCAGAGGTTTATCAAATGCCTATCGGGCCCCACGCTGGGTGTGAGACAAAGGCCAGCCTCTGATGGAGAGGGCTGCTTGTGATAAGAATCCTTAGAGAAAAAAGCCGAAAGCTGGAGGCAACGTCCTGTAAAGAAACTGATGCGTGGCCTATGACACAGGGGAAGCCTTTACAGGAGATGCAAATGGCCTTGAGGTTTGGGACCAAGCAGGCTAAACCCCAGTCTTTGCTGTGTGGTCAAATGAAATGATGGCTAAGGAGCCCCTTGTTTCTTTAAGAAAGCCCTCCCCCCATTTGGAGAAGGAGGAGCTGAAATGATCCACTCTGGGTCGGATTCCAGAGGTTGAGATAGCTTCACAGGGTCAAGACTGCTGGCCCAAGCTGCTTCGGAATAGCCCTTCAGAGTTGTGTGGAGCCTTGAATCAGTTTTGCTGGAGGATAATTGGATCAGGTTTATATCCATTGATGAAGAAGATGCAGTGTGACCCAAGAAAGGAAGCTGGATAACAATCCATGCCAAACACCCCCTAGGGCCTGCGTGAACAGTGGTACTGAGACCAGTCAGCTGCGGATCATTTGATGAGGCCCCAACTTTACTTCGTGGTTAATTTGACCAAAGAGGGGAATTCTTTATGGCCTGGGAAATTAACTTATCTTTTATACCTCTGTTAGATCTCCTTCCTGAGAACATTTTGCAGATTTCCCTGATAAAGCATTTTGTTTTGAACAACTCAAGAGCAGAACCCATTCAAACTCTGGAAAAATGATATAGAGGACTATGTTTTTTATTCAATATCCCATCATAGGAGCTTAGTAATAGTGACGACACAGCTGAATTATGAGTGCAAAGCATGAAAAGCCCTTATTAGGAGCACCGTTTTCTAGCTCAGGGACCTTGGGAGAATCACTTAAATTTGCTTTAACCCCAGATTCTTCCTCTGTTCAATGGAGATACTGGATACAGAAAATTGTATTATAAGGCCAGCCTGCAGGCCAAGTCCGGCCCACTGCCTGCTCTTGTCAATAAAATATTGTTGGAACATGACTGCTCTGCTCATTAGTCTGTGTATTGTGGACGGCTGCTTTTGCCCTACACTGGCAGAGGTGAGCAAGGCCATGTGGTCTAGAAAACCTGCGTGGCCATTCAGAGATAGAGTGTGCGGACCACTTCTGTAAGAGACTCCTCTTAGTCTTGCTGCCTAAACCACTCTGTCAGCTGCAGAGCGCCGCTGCATAAGGTGCCGCTCTCATTTAACTGTGTGTAACCCTTGGCAGACCAATAGCAACATGCCGTACGGTAGTGTGGTTCCTGGAGGGCCTGGGGAAATACCACAGTGACCCAGATCAAAATTCCAGAGTTGGCAGGAGTGGAACTGGCCGTACTCACAGTGTCAAGGTTTCGTTGCACAGGCCCTGAAAAGCGTTCGCAGGGACGGAAGTCACGTAAGGGTTGTCTGTAATTTCACTGCAAGAGAGGAACAAAAACACTTGGTGGAAAAAAGCACCTCTGGAGCTGGGCTCCTGCTGTAGAATATGCACCTAAATATATAACCTGACACTACTCCGTTTCATCCTATTTCTTTTTAGGTGTTGTTGACTTTTCTTAGCTGCTGGTGGCTCAGAGGTCCGGTGAGGTGGTGAGAGCTGACCTAGGTGGACGGGCACTCAGAGCCCCACCTGGGCAGGGAGCTGGTGAGCTTCGCGTGTGGGCTGAGGGTCCTGAAAGTCCTCATGTGCAAGGGGAGGACTCACGTGACAAATACTTTCCCCAGAGCAACTCGTTTCCTCAGGGTGTGGAGCCCCCAAAGAGGGTCGGTAGGATGGGATCGCTGGGTTTCATGATTATTATTAAAGTGTCCTTCACTTGAAACACTGCCAGGCAGATGCTCCTGGAGAACATTTCTATGTTCTAGTTGCTGGAAGATGGGTTATATTTTGAACAGAGCGCTTCTGCAGCAAAGGAGGATGGGCATTTTTTTTCCCCCTAGCAAAACCCCAAGAGTTTGGATCCTATCACTTTACTGATACATTTTGCTGACTCCACAGTACAAACTCAACCTGTAACTCTCTCTGCATATGTCCTTTCATGCCTGGACAACTAGTAAGACACTTGACTATGTCACGAGTTTTGGAAAAGAGCACTTGTCCCCAATGAGAAGTCCCAGGAAGTGATTGGAGGCCACTCATGACTGCTCCCGGGACCCCCCTCAGACCAAATCCCTTAGGTTTTCTACTCCCCAGCTTCCTCACTTGCATAGGGTAACAACTGTAACTTCCTTTTATGCCTTGTAAGGTAGTTAAGGGGAGCAAACATGATAACATATGGGAAACTGAAAAGCTTTGTGAAAAATAAAGAATCCTCAATATCATCAAATTTCATTCTATTCAATCACTCCCATCAGCAAACACACATGCCATAGTTTCTCCCATTAAAAAAAAAAAAGACCCTTTTCTCTTTGTTCCATGTACTCCAACTACTGAGGCATTTTTCTGCTTCTTTTTAATAGTAAAACTTCCCGAAAGAGTTCACCGTCTCTAATTCCCCCTTCTGAATCTCTCTTGAGCTCACTCCAAAGAGACTTCTCCCCCCTCAGAGTCCCACTTTTCAGAATCACAGTGCCCCACATTACTAAACCCAACGGGCATTTCTCAGTCCTTGTCTGACTTCATTCATCAGGGCATTTGTCACAACTAATCACTGCTTCCTCCTTGAAACAACTGTTTCACTTGGTTCCAACTAACATCTATCCTGCACCCTAATTCTTGTTAGCGACAAGTAAAATACTGCCAAATATTGTCTGTGTGCACACTTACAGTATGAAGAATACATCAGTGGAATAGATTTTGGTCAGGTCGGGGAATACTCTAAGTCCAGTGTTGAAAATGCCACTACAGTACATGAAAAAGAAGAAGAAAAGAATAGATATAAGGTAAGAAAATCAACACATAGGGAGTAGAATAATGTAACAGCTGAAAGTATGTGTTCTGACGCCAGACTAGGATCAAATCCTAACTCCTTTGTCAATTATGTGAGAGACCATGGCAAGTCCCAGCCCTTGGATGGGACGATGCTCCTCAAAGTATAAGAATACCCAGTCCACTAGTGTCAATACATCTCTTCTGTTCAGGAAAATCTGGAGATTGTTTGAGCCACGTAGGATTCCTAGAAATAGGAATTCAGGTTTCTTTCTGAGTTGTGTCGTGTGTGTGTGTGTGTGTGTGTGTGATTACCTTGTTTTAGTTGGAGGATATGATTCATGTGTCGGGGGAAGATAGGGTGGAATAAGGGAAGGATGCAACAGGAAGACAGTCTAATTACTGACTCCAAGCCAGGCTCCCTTTTGCAAACTCTACATTATATTGTGTTGGTTATTTTACCAAGGATGATACTCCCATGGCAGCCTCTTGAGAATGCCACGGCAGCACTACCATAAAAATATGTTTAGACAAAGAAGGAAATCAGTCAAAGGCAATGTCCTCACTCTCCAAAGCTTGTGTCATCAGGGCAAAATGTCAAGATAAAAATGTGCATAAAACAGCATGAATATAAAAGCTCAGGCTCCAGATGCCTCCCAGACTTAGTTGGTCTAACGTTGTTGTAGCTACTAGAACACAGGTGGTGGAGTTACACTTTGAGAGCCTTGGCATGCCATGCTAAGAACTCGCCACTACCAGTAAACCTTTATAGAAAGTCTTCCAGCAGAGAAAACTTTAGTCCCCCTGGTGCCCCTTCTAAGGCAAATTCTGACCTGATTCCTAGAGAGGAAGGCACATGATTTGAAGAGGAAGCAGGAGCCTGAGGTCTCAAAAAAGCAAATGGGAAGCTCCAAAAATAACCAAGGAGAGAAGTAACATTCCATAAGGTATATCTGGAAGATCAGGGGGGTAAAGCCTGGAGTTAAGTGGGGACAGTATTGGAAAGGGCTGGAAATGCCATCTTAGGAACTTGGGCCAAGATCTCTTTATTCTCCAAAACTCCAAATGAGTCCATCTTCTTTTTGATGTCTCCTCTAATTACCCCCAGATAAAGGTATGTACCTCTCATTTGTCACTTCCCACTATTCTTCTAGGGGAGGAACTTTTCAAATCCATATATAAATCTTCCTTTAAGAAATGGTCAGCTTCTTGGAAGGCAAGGACAACATTTTATTATCCAACATGTTCCCCACCAAACCTTGCGCAGACTAGGGAACCTGATGTCTACTAATCAAAGAGTTACTAAAGGACTGAAGCTCAGAGCCCACACAGGAGCAATTGCCTTGTGCTCTAAGTTTTTATTGGGCTTTCCTTGTGGCTCAGCAAGTTTTTACTACTTCCCAGATACCCCATCAGCCACATATCCCAACCATGTCCTCTTCTGTCCCCCTGGGATCGCCCACCCCTACCTCTTCAACACTGAACTATTTTCTGCTCCCCAAATAAGCCGCATGGTTCCACACTTTTGTGTCTTTATCGCGCTATTCCACCCACCTGTATTTCTCTTCTCCCCCTTCCCCTCTTTCTCCTGCATAACCTCTACTCATCCTTGAAGACTTACTTCATGAAATATATTTGGATATATACTTTTATTTAAACTCCCTAGGTGGCAATGAACTAATATGTGAATAATGATTATTTCTGGGTATTGGGATGAAGGTTAACTTTTTTTTCTTCGTAATGTTTTCGCATTTCTAATCTTTTACAGCACATGTGAGCAAGAAAGGAGGGTGCCCGGAGGACCTGAGCGTGTGCACACACGCCCACGGAACACGCTTTGCTGAGTGGACAGGCAGTAGGCGCTAGGCAGTGAAGCACAACAGAGGATGGATATGTGTGGTCCCTGCTCTCACCGAGACTGCAGTTGGCTCACAAGGTGTCACCCAAGGCAGACGGTGCTGTCTCTCTCTGTTGAGGGCCCCTCCCAACATCAAGATTAAGTGTCGCCTTTTTTGGTTCAACAGCCACTCTAATACTGCGATACCCGTTTCCTGACAAAATTGACTGGTGGGCTCTCAGAGGGTATGTTCGTTTAGAGACCGTGTGTACATGATGGCGTGTTCTCTCTCCTGTCTCCTGGGGCGGGACTCTGGTCCCAGCCGTGTGCGCTGACTTTTGAACAGGTTTTCTTTTATGTGGCTGCACTGGGTCTTGGTCACTGTGTGTGGGCTTCCTTTGAGCTGTGGTGTGCAGGCTTCTCATTCTGGGGGCTTCTCTTGTTGTGGACCACAGGCTTAGTTGCCCTGCGACAGGAGGAATCTTCCCAGGCCAGGGATTGAACCCACGTCCCCTGCATTGGCGGGTGGATTCTTAACCACTGGACCACCAGGAAAGTCCCTTGAATAGGTTTTAAAAATGTGACTCACTTCACCTGGCACCTTGCCTGAAGGGAAAAGGTGGGGAGTAAGTCACAGGATGTGATGTGTCCCAGGCCACCCAACCACTCACCGCTAAAATGACCCAATTGCACATTATCCCGGGGATACTATAATTCTCTTTTTTTAAAAAAGGGCAGGATGGGATAGGAGTTAATACTTACAGGAACTTTAGAAGGGGGAGCTCTTTTAGGGCGCCAGGGTCTATGTAAGTTAAACTTCTGGTGTTCCGAATCTCTCTGTAAAAGTCACAAGAAACATAGTCACTATAATATAGTCATTTCTGTCCTTATGAAAGATGACACAGTCCTAATCAGGTTTAACAAAGGTTCATACATATTTCCTTGGTGCCCGGGGACTGTTTCTGCCAGGAACCAGTCCCACCAAGAAAAAGCTACTTTTTGCTTTTGTCAGGGACACAATGGCTGTTCAGCCCTCTTCCATCACTAACTTAGCTTCGATCCATCTCAATTTGGGGGTGACCTTTCTCTTATCCATAGCCTCAGAGACTTTTTTTCCTTTTAGGTTTATAACTCTCTCCAGTGGTCTGTTGAGGGCAGGTATCTTTACTACTGATAATAACAAGTAACCTGGCCATGGGGAGCGGGGGATTGTGTGGATTATTTAATGGATAACAGCACAGGAATAAGGTCGGTGAGGTTCCTCTGTCCATTACTATTTCAGAGGCAGTAGAGGTAACGAGTATTCATGGTTCACTTGGGTTTATCTTCCTACTGTTGTTTAATAGATAAGTTGTGTCCAATTCTTTGCAACCCCATGGGTTATGGCATGCCAGGCTCCTCCGTCCATGGGATTTTCCAGGCAAGAATACTGGAGTGGGTTGCTGCTTCCTTCTTTAGGAGATCTTCCTGACTGCAGGATCGAACCCGCATCTCCAACATTGGCAGCCGAATTCTTTACCACTGAGCCACCAGGCAGGCCCTCATCTTCCTGGGAGTTCTTAGTCGCGCAGGGGTGCCTGACGCTTCTGGCATCCTGTGAACTGTAGCCCACCAGGCTCCTCTGTCCATGGGATTATTCAGGCAAGAACACTGGAGTGGGCTACTGTTTCCTTCTCCAGGGGATCTCCACAATCCTGGGATCAAACCTGAGTCTCCTGTGTCTCCTGCATTGCAGGTAGATTCTTTACCCACTGAGCCATCGGGGGAGCTATTTTCCCACACAGTTTTTTAAAATGCTTCAGCACATGTGACAATATCATATAGGTCTATAACTTATCTACTTAGTTTTATATACATGCTATCAAAATGCACAGCTAGTATCAGTGAAATCAGTGCCTGTTAGAAATAGGTTCTCATTGGTATTAATAGAAGTAAATGTATTAAACATGTGTAAATTGGTTAAGATTTTAAGGCCCTCCCGAGGTTTACATGAAGAAGGTAAGAAAACTTAGTAAGGCCTATAGTCTGACCCCTTCTGAATGGCACCTTAGCCTTGATTCCTAAAGGAACCTGCATCTAATGGTTGCTGGTAACAACTAGAAGACCTAGAATCTGGCCTCTGGGATTTTTAAAAAATAGTTTTGTTGAAGGAAAATTTCCATAATTTTATGATTGCAATTTGATACAATTAGATGATTTTTAGTAAACTTGTAGAATTGTGCATTCATCATCACAATCCAGTTTTAGAACGTTTCTATCAATGATAAAAGTAATCATATGCACACTTGCAGTCCATTCCCACTCCCTGCCCTCTGCCTAGAAACCACTGATCTCCTCTCTACTTCTAAAGTTGCCTTATCTGGACATTTCATATAAATGGAATCATAAATACATAGCCTTCAATGTTTGGTTTCTTTCATTTAGCACAGTATCTATGAGGCGCATCCGTGTTGTAGCGTATATCAGTAATTTGCACCTTTTTATTACCTTTTTATTTTACTACTGAATAACTGAATGGACCTAAGGTCAAATCTTGGCCCTGCCACTTCTAGCTGTGTGACCTTGGGCAAGTTCCTTGACCTCTCTGAGCCATAATTTCCTCATTTGTAAAACACGGACCATATTAGTGACTCTTGTGAGGATTAAATAATGTTTATATGAGGTTTCATGTGTGTACAGTAAAGGCTCTATAGGTCTTAGTTTTATTGCTGTTTTTCACCTGAGCAGAATGAAAGCTGGAGCAGACGCTGGAGACCTTGGGTTGGAGGTACTGCAATGTTTGCAAAAATTAAACAAACAAGAAAAAACCCCACAAGGTTTGATATTTGATGAAGTACAGCAACCATGAAACAGAGTCTTGGGAAAGAGAGAGTGGCATTAACTCTGGGAACAGAAACCATCTCCCAGCTCGGTTTACTATCAGTGTGACCTTACTGGTCTCTTTTCTTCATTAGCATCATTTTGTCCAGGAAAATAACTATTGCTCATTGTGGGAACTTCTTGAAAGACCCATCCACACTTCAACAGTTAGACACCCTCACCTCATCTTCCCATTGTGCCCACTAATCCTAATTATCATGTCATGATCTTCATTCAACCAAGACCGTGCAGAGAAAGACCCACTTTAAACCAGACTGTTTAAATTTTGTTCTGACTTGAAACTAAACGTCCTGTATCCCCGATACTCCCTCTGTGCTGGGTAAACTGGGACTGCGGGCTCCCCCTCGGATGACCTCTCTGAGCCATAATTTCCTCATTTGTAAAACAGGGACAATATTAGTGACTCTTGTGAGGATTAAATAATGTTTATATGAGGTTTCATGTGTGTACAGTAAAGGCTCTATAGGTGTTAGTTTTATTGCTGTTTTTCACCTGATCAGAATGAAAGCTGGAGCAGACGCTGGAGACCTCGGGTTGGAGGTACTGCAATGTTTGCAAAAATTAAGCAAACAAGAAAAAACCCCACAAGGTTTGATATTTGATGAAGTACAGCAAACATGAAACAGAGTCTTGGGAAAGAGAGAGTGGCATTAACTCTGAGAACAGAAACCATCTCCCAGCTCGGTTTACTATCAGTGTGACCTTACGGGTCTCTTTTCTTCATTAGCATCATTTTGTCCAGGAAAATAACTATTGTTCATTGTGGGAACTTCTTGAAAGACCCATCCACACTTCAACAGTTAGACACCCTCACCTCATCTTCCCATTGTGCCCACTAGTCCTAATTATCATGTCATGATCTTCATTCAACCAAGACCGTGCAGAGAAAGATCCACTTTAAACCAGACTGTTTAAATTTTGTTCTGACTTGAAACTAAACATCCTGTATCCCCGATACTCCCTCTGTGCTGGGTAAACTGGGACTGCGGGCTCCCCCTCGGCACAGTCTCCTAGCCATCCCCCGCTGGGCCCCTCTAAGACCATCAGACTCTGCTGAGTCAAGGTGCTCTGATGGGGAGCAATAAACTCCTTGCCAGAGCTTTCCATTTGACGGGAGGAGTTGAACTGCTGTCAGTCAAAGGCAAACTAGTTAGAAGAGTTTGAAAACTCTCCGAGTGTGGGAGTGTGGTTTGCAGTCTGGAAAACCGCTCCATGAGTGACTATTGTTGAACAAGCAAACTTGAGTGAGTATCCCAAGAGAATGTCACAATGAAAGAGTGTGGCCCAGCTGAATCCACTTTAGAAGCAGAGAGAGAATTAAGGGAAAATAAACACCACTGTTGGCTGCAGCTGATTAAACGAGGCTGGCAACCAACATGGCGGCTGCAAGAGAAGAAAGAGATGGGAGAGGCTACAGGAGGGGGAGACTCAAAAGAGGAGATGGGCTTTTCAGTGAGAGTGAGAAAAGGAAAGGAAAGGTGGACAAGAGATATCAAAAGCAAACACCGGGCAAAAGAAGCCGCTTTCTGAGGTAAGTTAACACTTCCTCACAAATGACTTTTTAAAATTTCTGCTGAGGGAAAGATAGACATTGTATGAAATCATTTACATGTGAAATCTAAAAATGCCAAACTCAGAGAGGGGCTGCAATGGGGCTGTGGGCAGGGGGCCGGGGAGATACTGGCTAAAGTGTACAAGCTTCCAGCTATAATACTGGCAAATTCTGAGAATCCAATGTGCAGCAGGATGAGTATAGCTAACAATACTGTGTTATATCACTGAAAGTTGCTACTAGAGATCTTAAATGTTCTCAAAAAGAAATGGTCATTATGTGTTGGGGCGGAGGTGTTCATTCATGCTGTGGTGGGAATCATTTTGCAATATGTGAGTATATCAAATCAACACATTGTATACCTTAAACTTCCACAATGTTATACATCAATTATACCTCAATAAAGCTAGAAAAAAATAAAACCTCAGCTAAAGCAAGGAAAGGGTGTGGGGTGTGGACTGCCAGTAGTTAAGCTAAATGAAGACAGATGTCAGAAGGGAATGCAGCTGGTATAACCTTCCCCCCAAAAAAAAAAAAAAAAGGAAAGGGAAAACCAAAGAACAAAAACCGGGGAAAAAAAAAAGAAGGGGAAAGAGGAGTACAAATCTGCGTGAGTTCCAAGAAGGCCTGTGAGGGTGAATTTGAATCTGCAATTGTGGCCCAAGCATGCAGGAGGCTAGCTATGCCTCCAGGAAGCTGGGGAACCAAGAGGAAGGCAGTCTACATGTAACTGCAGCGCAGTGGGATACAACAGCCCTGCAGCCTGAGTGTGAACGACTGAAGATGTCAGTGCCTCTGGACCAACAGCCTGGATCCCTGCGTCACTGCAGGGAGGAGGGCCGCCCTGCCGCCTGCTCCCCATCCAGTACTGTCCGAGAGCAAGAAATACCCCTCAGTTACCGCAGGGGTTTACACAGTTTAATTTTGTCTATTTCCTACAGTAATTAGCCTACCCAAACTCATACAATAAGCATGCATAAAGTTGTTAAAATACAGAGCACACAGTTAGTCGTGGTCATCTCTGGGAGGTGTTAGGCTAGGACTTTGTGACTTTCACTTTTTATTTTATCTTGTTCAATTGAAGAAAAAATATAATAAAAGGCATGCAAAAAAGAAAAAAAAAAAAACCACCCCAAATTTTAAAAGAGCAAAAAAAAGCAATATATATTCCATATAAAAAATTTTAATATGCAGTGCCAAATAGTCTGCTTAAATCTCCAAGTATACTCTTTTACAAAAAGGGGTAATTTAGCTGCATCAGGGAAATGTTTGAGGATCTTGAAGCTTATTGATTAGAACCAGGGCCTACTGTAGAGCAGGGAAGTCTGTTCAATGTTACCTGGCAGCCTGGAAGGGAGGGGCCTTTGGAGGAGAATGGATACATGTATATGTGTGGCTGAGTCCCTTTGCTTTTCACCTGAAACTATCACAACATTGTTTGTTAATCAGCTATACTCCTATACAAAATAAAAAGTTAAAAAAAAAAAGAAAAGAAAAACCTAGTGTTGGAAGATTAAAAGGCAAAAAGACTTTAGGTATGCTTATTACTCAGAAAGTTTCTACCAGTGAGGGAATAGAAGAACTGACTTAAGTGAAGCAGGTAACATCATCCTTATTTTGTAGACAAAAACGATGGAGACGCGTAGAAAGATTAAATGACTGATCTGTCACACAGTTAGAGGCAATTCTGGGCCTTAAAATAGGAATTCTAACTCCAAATACAGCTCTTTCTTTTTCCTTTTTTTTTTTTTTTTAATGATGTTTATAAGAAATCATCAACCAGACCTTAAAAGAAATACAAATGCTCATTACAGATTAATTTTCTTTCATTGGATTTCAAATAAAATGGACATTTAGATGAAAAGGCTAATGTTATGCTCAGTGTGCAGTGTTTTCACAGACTAGCAGATTAATAATCTAGCATGAGGCTGGGTTCATTTAACCATATATCTAGGGCTTCCCTGGTGGTAAAGAATCTGCCTGTCAGTGCAGAAGATGTGGGTTTGATTCCTGGGTCAGGAAGATCCCCTGGAGAAGGAAATGGCAACCCACTCCAGTATTCTTGCCTGGGAAATCCCCCAGACAGAGGTGCCTGGTTGCGTGGGGTGGCAAGAGTTGGAAACTACCACCAATCATAGGTCTAGGTTCTGGGTTTTTATTTTCTTCTTCTTCTGAGGAATATTTGTTAATTCTCACTAAGAGTCAAAACAGAGAAGTTGGCATTATGGCAGGTACTTAGTACACAGTCCAAACCCAAAGAACAAGGGAAATCTGCAAGGTGAGAAGGGAGTTCTCAGCTTGGGGGAGGGAGCAGCCAAAGATGGGGAAAGGCAGGCTTAACCCCTCCTATGAAGGAACTTTTTCCACCTACTGATATTCTTCCATTGTCCTATCGCTGCTCCCCACCTTGATTATTCACTAGGCATTAGTTACCAGCATTTGACTGTGATCCTCAGCCTTAGAGATATTTACTCGCACCCTAAACATAATCCAGTCCATGAATGAAAAGCAGGCCAAGCTGGGAAAGAACTGAGGGCAACAACAAAGTCGAGCTGGCATTTCACCTGCCAAGTTAGATGGGGCCAAGGGTAATAGGAAAGCTTCAGACTCTCACTCAGCATGGAGACTGAGCTAAAGAAACTTAGGAGAAGCTGCTCCAGTCAGCAGGGCTGGACTTGAAAGAAATTTAAATACAGTGAGAGTCCCTTGAACAGCAAGGAGATCCAACCAGTCCATCCTAAAGGAAATCAACCCTGAATATTCATTGGAAGGACAGATGCTGAAGCTGAAGCTCCAATACTTTGTCCACCTGATGTGAAGAGCTGACTCATTGGAAGAAACCTTGATGCTGGGAAAGATTGAGGCGGGAGGAGAAGGGGACGACAGAGGATGAGATGGTTGGATGGCATCACTGACTCAGTGGACATGAGTTTAAGTAAGCTCCGGGAGATGGTGAAGGACAGGGAGGCCTGGCGTGCTGCAGTCCATGGGGTCACAGAGAGTAGGGCATGACTTAGTGACTGAACAGTATGTAAGATTGTGTTGTTTAAAACAAGAGACTGAATGAGAATATTGGCCAAAAACCTAGTTCTTAGCCAGTCCCAGATCCTTATCAACTTTTACTTAAATTTGATATTCAGGGTTTTTTGTTTGTTTGTTTCTGTAGTCGGCTTTTAAGTGGCAGTGGGTTTGGAAAAAATTGAAGGCAAGCCTCTCTGACTAAATTTGCTCTCTCTAGTTAGTAGAGTGTGGAAAGATTCATTAAAATTAAATAATTACTGGACATTATCAGGGCAACTTTACTGTGTGCTTTGAGAGGTATTAGGAAGTAGTAAGTAATTAATTACTTTAAAAACAAGATGTGAATATATTGGCAAAGCCAGAATTTTATTAAATACTTTAAACACTGTACTCTACTGATGCAAAAATGGGGACTAAGAATTAGGTAAATTAATTTCAAAGTAACATTTTGTGATAAGCGCTTATTAATATTTCCCTAGCCCTAAGATACTACCTAAACCTCTGGTCACTTTCCCAACCCCACAGCTGTTGTTTACAATTCAGAAAGTGCTTCAAGAGGAAAACGATCGAGTGCTATGTTGGGCATCTCCTTCTCTTCCCCTTAAGTTCTTGCTCCCTTTATAATATTCAAATCCCTTTAAACAGATTTTTTTTTTCTAGTTCCTCTACTTGTTTTCAGACTGATCGTTGATCTGATAATGTATGCTAGCCTAGCATAGCTGGAGAAAACTTTCTGGGCCTCAATATTCTTTTCTTCTCCCAGATTGCATGCATGTTTATTTATATTTATTGGGATATAGCTGCTTTGCAATGTCGTGTTAGTTTCTGCTACAGAAAACAGTGGATCAGCTCTGTGCATACATACATCCCCTCCCTCTTGGACGCCTTCCCACCCTCCCCATCCCACCCCTTTAGGTCAACACAGAGCACCAGCTGAGCTCCCTGGGAAGCTTCCCACTAGCCATGTTACGCAGCCACACGAAGGAACGCAGCTGAGCCTTAGAGTTCTCGAAGGAAGCAGACTGTCGTGTGCAGGGGAAGAATATTTGAGGCAGATACTTATGATGTAAAGATTCTGGCCCTCTTCCTTAGTAACTGTGTGACCTAGGATAACGTGTTTAGCTTCTCTACATTTATGTTTTTCTTAAGTAAATGATACAAATGATAACCTCTACTTCACAGGGTTTTTGAAGGTTAAAAAATCCATAAATGTTCAGCATAATGTCTAGAACATTATTTACAGATGTTAAGTATTTTTGTTCTTTATCAAGAAAAGAATAAATATTTCATAATACAGGGCTGCTTAAAAGAATATAATAGGTGCCACAGAAATAAAAACAGCATGTGAAGTGTATTGCTTGATGTTGTGTGGTAGTGTGTGTGTGCATGCTGAGTCGCTCAGTCCTGTCCAACTCTTTTGTGACCCCATGGACTGTAGCCCGCCAGGGTCTTCGTCCATGGAGTTTTCCAGGCAAGAATACCAGAGTGGGCTGTCGTTTCCTCCTCCAGGGGATCTTCCTGAGCCAGGGATCCAACCTGAGTCTACAACACAGCAGTGATAGAAATGACAATTCAAGAAGAGGACTTCTGCCATGGAAGTGAAAATTAGGATGAATTAACATAAACTGAGAGTGAAAACAAGTTAAGAATTTAATCATTAACAGAAATTCTGATCCATGTTCTAGAAACCAGCTCTTTTGTCCTAGAAACCAGCTCTTATAATCTGGATCCCCCAAATTATCAATCAAAAAAGGGCTGTGGATGGATGTAGGTCCTCAGTTTAATGAAATCTTTTGTGTTTTAGCAAAGACCTCTATGGAGAGAAACACTTGAGAATTGGTAGTGAAATCTTTAGAGGTTTTACTTAACACCTGATGCAAAGAACTGCCTCCTTGGAAAAGATCCTGCTACTGGGAAAGATTGAAGGCAGGAAGAGAAGGGGGTGACAAAGGATAAGATGGTTAGATGTCATCACTGACTCAATGGACATGCGTTTGAACAAACTGCGGGAGATGGTAAAGGACAGGGAAGCCTGGCGTGCTGCAGTCCATGGGGTTGCAAAGAGTTGGACATGACTTAGTGACTAAACAACAACAACAATTTGGATTTTCAGAGACAAATGCCTGATATGTAGAAATACAAAGTTCCTAACTAAAAAAATAAGACAACCAAAAGGGGCTGCAGCCTGGATTTATGCTGCACTTTCCATCGTACTTACATGTGAGTCACTTTACTTAAATTGTAGAAGGAATGTGATTCCAGTTGCTGCAGAGTTGCATCTATTGACAAGTAGCTGAACGTCACAAAAATAAAAGACAAAATAGAAAGTTAGTAAGGTTGTGAACTGTAAACATACCATTAATTCTGATGTAACTACTTTGTCAGGGGCATCCCAGGTCATGAAACATGTACAACTCTCATGATTTCACCCTAATTATGTTAAAAGATCCTGTTTTATCTGAAAGTTTCCCAGTTCATTGGTCTTACTCATTTTTCAGGTTTCATTGAACCGATACTTCCTTTAGAAGCTTACCCTAAATTTCCTGATTAGGTCAAATTTCTCATAGGATAGCCTCATGGCACCACGGACTTCTACTTCCACTAATTATCACAGTGAAACTTTGCAAGGCCTTGGATGATATTTGATTTATGTTGTCTCATTAGACAGCCAGTTCTCGGAAATGGAGAACTGAGTCTCTTTCTGATGGACACTGAATGTTGAGTACCTTTCATATTGCTTGTCTTGTAGTAGACTTCCAGCAAATATGTAATTAAGTGAATGAATGAGTAAATGAATGAATAGGCGAGTTACTCAAAATAGCAGAAAGTGAAAGATGGCAGAATAGAATACACAAATGAATAAGAAGCATCTTTAATGGAGTACCTAATGCATGAGAGTAGAGATGTAGTTTCAAAGATGAAGAGAAAGCCACCATTCTCTATTGGAGCGTTCCATGCAGTGGGGGCTGTATAGTCTCTCAAGACTTTGCTTTTTCATTTTTATGAGACTTCCCTAGTGGACCAGTGGTTAGGTCTTAGCACTTCCACTGCAGGGCTCACAGGTTCAATCCCTGGTCGGGGAACTAAGATCCCACATGCAGTGCGGTGTGGCCAAAAAAAAAAAAAGATCATCCTCTTCATTTTTATGAGGCTGAAAACTCAAGGTTTGTTTTGAACTTTGTAAATGAAAGGCAACACGAATAAAGTTCTAAGTACTTAAAAAAAAAAGAAACATAAATACAACTCATGAAGAATACAGAAGGGATGATGTTTCAAATAGTCTCCTTAAATTCCATTCTGTAATAAGAATGACTAATGCAGCCAAATTCAAGGACTGCATGTTCCTGAGAGGCATTTCTATGACATCTGGGGAAATTAATGATTAATAGATGGTGTCCACCTGTAAGTGGAGCCAAGTTTCTCAACCTTGGTCACACAACTGAACTATCTGGGAGGCTTTTGAAACATGTCTTAAGACTCAGTCCAGAATAATTAATTCAGAGTTATAAGGGATGGTCAAACACTTTTATTCTTAAAAAGCTTCCCAGATGACTTAAGGTGTGTGTGTGCCTGCTCAGTCGTGTATGAATCTCTACGACACTATGGACTGTAGCCCAACAGGCTCCTCTGTCCATGGGATTCTCCAGGCAAGAACACTGGGGTGGGGTGCCATGCCCTCCTCCAGGAGATCTTTCCAACCCAGGGATCGAACCCACATCTCCTGCATCTCCTGCATTGGCAGGCGGTTTCTTTACCACTGTGCCGCCTGGAAAGCGCCTCTAAGGTGAAAGGCAAGGTTAAAACCCCCTGGCGTATAGTTTGAATTGAATCTGCCAGTAAAATGTTTTCATTAATGCAATGCTTCTAAGAGGAGTGCTGACTGCTCTACCTGCGTTTCTATCACTGGTGGTGTGAGTATTCTGAGGGTCCTGTGCTTTCTGTTTCGAATTATCTACTCTAACCAGTAATCCTTTGATTTGTTGGGTCTCCCAAGCCATTGCTACTTGTGGATAACATTACATAAATTATTTTGATCCAAATATCACATCTCTAACAGAGAGGAAACCATTGAGGATGTCGAAAAGAATTTATTGTGTAGACATTATGGGGATTTACGGTGGGTGAAGCTGTGCAGTCTGAGGGACAAGGTTAGTTATGAAGGTGGCAAGCTTGTTTTCCTCACTTTGCATCCTATCCATTGCTCCAGTATTTCTCCTGAATTTCTTAGTTTAGCAGGGGCAAAGCTTTCTTAAGGTTTTAGTCATTCAGCATGTGTCATAATAAATGAAGTTCCAATTTCTCCAACTGAATGATACCTCCGTAGAGGGCTGTCATAGCTTCGTTGCAAAGACAACACATAAGAACCATTTATTCAGTGGGATAAAAGCAATGATTCCCTATTGCTTATCCTATTTTTATAATCAGGAAAAATCAGATCCCACTTCTTCCTCAAATCTCTTCTTAGCATGTAAGTTGTATATAATCACTAGGGTAACCATATCATCTATCATCCAAAGGGTATTTTGTGAGTTAAAACAGGGTACTATTAATAATTATGTCAGAGTAATAGGTGGGAAAGTGTGCTGTCCCAGACAAACTCCCTGCTGATCTCTCCTCTCCCGAGATGCGACAGCTTCCTATTTTGTGCTCTATGCTTAGTTTTTCAGTCATGTCTGACTCTTGCAATCCCATAGACCGTAGTCTGCCAGGCTCCTCTGTTCATGGGATTTTTTATGTATGTGTGTATGCTTTCATTCAACAAATATATATTGAACATTTACTTTATACGTTAGTAAATGGGCATTGACCAATCAGACCTGCTTCTGAGCTTCCAGGAACTCACAGTAGTGAGAGATACAGACTGGTAAAAGGGATTAACATGTGGAATGATAAATTCTCTGATGCGATAAATTCTCTGATGGGAATCTGGACTAGAGAATCTCAGCACAGACTCCCTGGAGGAATCTTCCTCACATCTGCCTGGACATCCTGAACATTTCAGTTAACCTTCCTTCTTTTATTGTCCATCATTTTATTTTAAACCTTCTCGAATTTCTAACCCTGCCTATTCTACCCTCAGTATTAGTAGATAATCTTTTTTAATAATTTGTAGAAAAGATTGAAACCTTGAGATGAGAATTTCCGGAATTCCCCTCCAAGAAGCCTATTAATTTACCTGCCTCTGTCCCACCTCATACTACTACTTTCTTGTTACAGTACCAAAGAGGCCCATCTTCCTTCAGGTCAGCCCCTCTATTTGGATGCTATTCCCTCCTGCCTCCTGAGAGACTATTCTTTCTTCAGTTTTTTTAGCCTTTCCTTCTCTCTGATGCCTTTCCCTGGTCCATGTTACATCTACCTGTTTACAACTCTCAAGTTTCAATCTCTACCCAAATCTCTCTCCAATGCCTCGACATAGCTGGGATTTCCATATTTCCTTAGTCTACCTTGATACCCAAATCCCCTCCTGAATTAATATATTTATTTATTATGTTTTTGATTCCTGAATTAGTATATTCATTCATTATGTTTTTGCTTCCTGAATTAATATATTTATTTATTATGCTTTTGCTTCCTTGTCTATTTCTTTTCATTTGAATGTAAACTCCACAGGTACACGGTTGATTGTCCATTTGTTCCCTGAGGCATACCAGTCACTTAGACCGGCAATTGATAAATACCAGGGAATGAATAAATATTTCTTGAATGAACTGATGAAAACTGATATCCTGATGTCTACTAGATATAGCTGCTTGCTGCCTCCAAGGCACCTCCAATGCCCTGTGCCCCAAATTGAATTCCTAACTTATCCCCTGCCCCTCCATCGCAGATGCACAGAAAACGTCTCTGCCTTGGCACATGTGCTTGTCAACCACACAGAGGTCCTAGTCAGAAACAGCAATGAAATTCTCCATCTCCCTCCACCTCCAAGTCAACCAACTTTTGTTCTCTTCTCCCTAATTTTTCAAACCTGGCCACTTTTTTTTGGATTACCGCTCAAACCACCGCCGTTCAGCCTGTCATCCCTATTCCATTTGCCACCCCCTCCCTGGGCACTGAGTCAGCCTCCTCACTAGCTTCCTGCCTCCAGTTTCCTCCACTTCCACCCATTTTCCACAGCACAGACAGGGCATGTTTCTAAAGCCTCTCATCTGTCACTTCCCTGCATATAGTCATCCTGTGGCCTAGTCCTTAGGGGAGATTTCAAACTCCTTCAAAAGATTCACAAAGCCCTGTCCTCACTTACCTCCCAGTTTTATTCTTCTCTACTGTCCCCACGTTGAGACTAAGCTCCAGCTTCCACAAACTTATTTTTCATTTCATTGACAGCCATTTTTTCTTCTGCTTCGACTTATCTTTCCCTCATCTGTTTTTGTTTCTTTCCCAGACAATATAGATGGCAAATTAGGCACCATTTCCTCCAGGAAGCCTACCCTGACCACACCCCCTATCCAGGTAACAGACTTCTCACATGAGTTCCTAGGTCACCCTAGAACTGACTCCATCATGGCACTTATCACTCTCTTAGGCAGGAAACTGGAGGTTCCATGAGTATCGTCAACTACTATATATGTGACACATCTAGCAAAGTGCCAGGCACAAAGTAGTGCTCTAATTATTCATTGAATGAATGAATGAATATAGCCAAGTAGAGACACCAAGGGCTTCCCTGGTAGCTTAGCTGGTAAAGAATCTGCCTGCAATGCAGGAGACCCTGGTTCAATTGCTGGGTTGGGAAGATCTGCAGGAGAAGGGATAGTCTACCCACTTAATATTCTTGGGCTTCCCTTGTGGCTCAGATGGTAAAAAAATCCATGTGTCAATGTAGACTCACCAGTTTTAACAACTGTACCAGCCTGGTGGGGGAGGCTGATACTGTGGGAGAGTGCACGGCAGGGGGCAGAGAGAATACGGCAACTTTCCTACCTTCCCCTCAGTTTTGGTGTGAACTTAAAACTGCTCTAAAGTGTATTTAAACAAAGAAAGAAAGATATCTATAGTATAGCCCTGAACTGTAGGAACAAGTCAGAGCTAGAGACAGTCCTTTAAGAATTAGGTGTGTTAGGTAACAGTGAGGCCTAAGGCAAGAGAGTGTTCATTCAAGGGGCAGAGGTCACAGAGGAATTAGGACAAAATAAACAAAGAACTGGTGCTTAAGGATCTGAATGAAATAGGAAGCCAGGAAAGGAGACAGGGGGAGTAGTCAGGGTAAGATGTTAAAAAGAGGGAGGGAACAACAGCTGGAAACCAAAGACAAGAATTTGAAAGAAAGGAAGGGCTGGTAGGAAAACAAAACAAAACAAAACAAAACTGCAGAGATGCTCAGCTGGGATGGTTTCTCAGTGTCAGCACTACTGAGGTTTTGGTCTAGATCATGCTTGGTTGTGTGAGGGGTATCCTACACCTTACAGGATGTTGAGCAGATCCTTCAACTCAGCCCTTACATACTGGTAGCACCCATCTCTCCAGCTGTGACAATTAAAAACCTCAACTGCCCCTGAAATGACTCACAAGACAGTAAGTGGTCACGAACTGACTAATTTTAGCCAGAGACCACACGGGCTGCTCCTGGTGGCATTGTTGTTAGTCTGCCTGGATTATCTGTGCTGCTCGTCAGAATCAATGAATTAAAATAAAAACCTGGCTCATTTCATACACAGATACACTCGTCAATGCAACATGGAAACTCTTTCTCCTCACTCTTGAGTGTACAGCAGTTTGGTTTTCTTTGATTAAGAATTATTTTTAGTTTTTTTTTTTAAGTGAGATGTCTGAAATCATTGACTGCATTTATGAGAAAATGTTAACATTTATACTAGTGGTGAAAAGAGAATCAAGAATTGGTAATGAGGATAGATAGATTAGAGATATGTGTATATATATATTTGTTTATAGGAAAGATTTCTGGCTAAGGTTTTGCCATGTATCAAAATATATTGACATACACTAAGAATTAGTAAATTCTTAAGACTGAAGTTACTTCAATTTACTTTAGGTTTAAAAAAATCTTTTAGGGATTAGGGGGTGGAGATGCAGCAAAATCAAATAAGCACCTCGTACATAAACTTCATGTATACTGAAAATGTAGACATCATTGCCTTATGTAAGTGCAATATTTAACAGGTATGTTTCTTGATAGAACCCTGTTAGAAAACTACATGTCACAATTGCAAACATCTTTTTATATTAGAAAAATGTGACTTACATCCTGGAGATATTGGGCAGATTTGAAAACGCACGACTGGGAATGGTTTTCAGATGAGTCTCTATAAACTTCCTATAAAAAAAGTCACACAGAGTTCAAATCATTAGTTTTTTCTAGTAACCCACCCTAATTATACAGAACACGTTATTAGAAGCCTGACAGTCATTACAATATATATTTTATCATTCATCATCAATAAAAATAATACTTAATGAAAAGCAAAGAATTTTCCCCCCAACAAGAATTAAGAGTGATATTCAAATGCAGAAAACAAATCTTCAAACATTGCCTTCAAATTTGCAGTAAACTGGTATGCCTTGTATAACATCATATTCAACCTGTTAACAGAAGGGCAATATAATATATTCATAAGTTTATTAGGACTACTGAATTCTTTGTCAATAAAAATATCTTGAAATGTCACCAGAGCATTATTAAGATTGTACTAAGAGGATTTAAAATAGTCGTATGATTATAACCTTTTTGCCCAACCAAAGGTTTATTCAATCATTACCTTGATCTTATCATGAACTTACTGCGATTTGGAAATAAGTGACTAACAAGGAGCTAATACTTCACAGGATCATGGCATCTTAGTTGCATATGCAAACTACTGGTTGTGGCTTTTCTTCCTGTTTGATTTTTGATACTTTTCAGAAGATTGAGACTGTTTTTCTTATGCAATGAGACATCTCGATGCATTCTAGTATGTCTCTCCACGTGGATCCTCCACTGTTTACTCCCTTTCTTTGTTGTGGGGCTTCCCTGGTAGCTCAGCTGGTAAAGAATCTGCCTGTAATGCGGGAGACCTGGGTTCGATCCCTGGGTTGGGAAGATCCCCTGGAGAAGGGAAAGGCTACCCACTCCAGTCTTCTGGCCTGGAGAATTCCATGGACTGTATAGGGCAGTCCATGGGGTCACAAAGGGTCGGACACGACTGAATGACTTTCACTTCACTTTTTCTTTGTTATAGCAACCACTTGGATAGAATTCTGTGTGGAAAAAGATGTTCCTACTGTCCTAAATCACTTTCCAAAAAGCCAATGCCTCACCATGCCTATCATCTTCTTCATGGGTTTCTTTTTGCCATTTACATGTTGGTAATTATATATTGTCCATTAACTAGCTTTTTAAAAGCTATTAGACTGAAATTGTGTATTTTTCCTCCTAGGCTGCAGGATGATTTCTCAATCCTTGATTTCTTTTATCTCTGTACTCTTTGAACAGTAATTTTTGCAGTGATTAAAATGTGTTTAGAAATTCTGGTGTCTGGTTCTGTCTGACTGGAGCCTGGAAGTCCCCTACCTCCCTCCTAACAATAAATAAAAAGCTAGACAGAAAAATCGATCTCTTCTTAGATCTGTGGGGGAGGGGAAGATAGGACAAACCACAGTCCTCAGGACAGGAGAGACAGACAGGAGTCCCCACTTCTCAGAGCAGAGACTCATGAGCAAAAACTAAAGGGGGTTGGGGGGACCAGCCCTAGGGTACAGATTCAGGAAAACCCGAGCTGTGACTGACAAATTGCCAGCGCGCAGTGAAACTCTGAAAGCTGAAAACTCCAGGACAACCTAGTTATAGGTAGACCTCCACTGTTTTGTGAGATTTGCCTCCAGGAGTTCCACCAAATATTAAGGAAAAAACCCCTTTGTGCTTCTGTCAGAGGAAGGGGAAAAGGAAGCACTTAGAAATACAGTTGACCCTTGAACACTAAAGGGGATGGTTAGGGGCATCAACCGTTACACTTTAAAACAGCCACATATAACTTAATCGCTGGCCTTCAGTATGTGTGGTTCTGCACCCGCAGATTCAACCAGCCGTGGCTGGATCATGTAGCACTGTTGTATTTATTACAGAAGAAAACCGACGAATGAGTGGACCCAGGCAGTTCAAAGCCATGCTGTTCAAGAGTCAACTGTATATCAGGGCACTCTGTTGTTAACAAAGCCTGCCCTCAGGGGAAGCTAGTTATCTACAGCCTGTAGAAGGGAAATACCCAACTCGAGCTCACTCTGGCTTATTCTGCCCTGCTGAGGGGGAGAGAACATACTGAGAAATGGGAAATTCATGGTCCAGAGGCACAGGCTTAGCAAAAGACCTAATCATAGGGCTACAGAACATGTTCAATCCTCTGACATCTCACCACCACATTACTGATCTATTTATAGCCATTCTTTTTATCCAGTATGTTCTGTCTGTCTATCAAGAAGTAAATCTGTAATTTGCCTAATCAAATCCTCAGTAAGGCCAAATTAATTTCTAAAAGGACCTATTAACTTGGGGGCAGAGGGAGGTGATGTGAATAACAACAGTAGAATGTCAGCCTTTTGCAACGTTGGTGATTGAGCATCAAGTGCAATGTGTCTTCATATGAGTCCAGAAATTCAGGGCCCATAAATTACCTGCACCCACTCACAGCTCTCCTAATTACACTCTCTTAACTGGATTGATTAAAAGCCTGTTGGTCAGAGGGAAGTAAGCCAGAAAGATAAACACCAATACAGTATACTAACGNAATAAATAAATAAATAAATAAAAGCCTGCTGGTCCAGATCCAAGATTCTAAAGTTAAAAAGAAATGAAAATAACAAGTCATTGTGACTAAAATCTCCCAGTCAAATTGGGCCACGCCTATGGAAATAAAAAACATAAGATACATACCTGTTGGGTATCACCTGAAGAGACCCAGTTTCTTGAGCTCAAAGACGGTCTTACTTACAGAGCATGTCCTAAGGCATGGATCTTGAGGGCAAGCTTATCTAAGATTGCACATTCTGCTTGTAGGTCATATGACCTAATTTGTAACTTTCATTGGCAAATATTCTGTCTCCAAAAGTAAAGAATCTATATTTAATTTTTAAAATTTAATTTAAAAGCCCACCAGATGGACTTTGCTGGTGGTCCTGTAATTAACAGTCCATGCTCTCAATGCAGGGGACCTGGGTTCAATTCCTTGTCAGAGAACTAGATCCCACATGTGGCAATTAAGAGCTCACACATTGTAACTAAAGAATCCACATGTTGCAGCAAAGATTGAAGATCTCCTATGTGCCACAGCTAAGACTCTGCACAAGCAAATAAATAAATATTGAAAAAGAAAATTAGAGTAACAATGGTTTCTAAGTTTAACTTGGAACAGAAGTAGTATTTAGATGCAGTTTAAAAGCCTTTGGCTTAAAGATTCAAATAATGTTTATGTTCTTTCCTGATATATGAATTTCTGAAATCTGTAATACATGTTTCTGGGATTCTCTCTTTCTCTTTCACACATGTAAACACACACTTTAAGCCACAACTACTGAGTTCATTGCAGTTGATGGAGTTCGGAATATACTATCCCAAAACACATTGTGTTGGCATATTGAATATTTTAAGCTGGGGGAATGTGAGAAGCAGGGTGTAGGAAGGATTTTGTAATCCCCTCTATTGCTTCACCCTCTGAAGCAAGTCATAAGACCCTCCTGTGAGAGGTGCCTTCCCAATGCCCAGAGATAAGTACAGTCTTACCGGGAAGACAGGGGGATGCTGGGGGATTTGAACGAACAGACGTGGCAGGATTCCCTTAGTTTGCTAGTCTCAGCTCATGCCCCTCCATCCTATCACATTTTCCCAGCACTCTTCATCAAAGAGGGGAACGCTAGCCTGTGATCACTCAGGTTTAATCACTTCTCCAAGCCCCCGTTTCTTCATGAAGCCCCCATGTGTGAGACCCATGTTAAACGCGCCTCGATGCTCTTCTCTTGTTTCTCTCTAGCTGAGAACCCAGAAGGAAAATAATTTTTTTTTCTTCACCTAAAGAGTAGAATGTGCTTTAAAAGACAACATTTTTGAAATGCTCACAAAACAAGATATTCTTCTTGGCCAAATTTCTCACCAAAGAAAGCCACTCATGTGAATACAATTATAAGAATTATGTGTCTCAGTGCAACTGTCTTACTAATGATACAATAAGCATGGTGAAAGTGAAAGTAGCTCAGTCATGTCCAACTCTTTGAGACCCACGAACTATAGAATCCATGGAATTTTCTAGGCCAGAGTATTGGAATGAGTAGCCTTTCCCTTCTCCAGGGGATCTTCCCAACCCAGGGATTGAACCCAGGTCTCCCGCATTGCAGGCAGATTCTTAACCTGCTGAGCCACAAGTCCTAAGCAATAAGTCTTCACCTAAGATGAAAATGAATTATCTATTTATTGAATGAACTTAGTTAATAACATGATGATTATAATGCAGAAGACTGATTTCAATGATGATTATAATGCAGAAGACTGATTTCAATAATGTTAAATGAATTAGCAGAATGGTAGCTAATCGTATAAATTGCTGAATTCAATTTGTAGATTGTACATTTTACCTGGATATATTCATAATAGTGTGTACATAATCTGGAAAAATAAACTCATTAATGAGTTAAAATACACACACACACACACACACACACACACACACATATATATATTTCCTTTTGGTATAAATTGTCTAGGTCTCCACTCTAAAATTCACCACACGTCTCCTTTTTCTTCCCCAGCTTTTAAAATGTTATTAGCCTGATTTGCACAAAATCATATAGAAAAAATTTTCTCTCAAAGCATCTATTTCTCTTCTAATAAAGAGCAAAAATTACTGGCTAGGACAGAACATCTAGCTAATTAAATACTGAAGACATCATATTTATTCACAGAGCCTTTGGTCCATTTTCCCCAACAGTTTTACTGTGAACCTCCTGGAGAATAAGTTATTGTATTGATAATATGTGGATGCTCACCCCAGATGTGTGAACTTCAACCCTTAAGGAGGTTTGGTGGTGGTTTTATTAGGGAGTGATTTTGAAACTAGAGCTGACTGATACGTGTTTATCACCAACTTCTTTCTCTTTTTTGTCCCTTCCCCTAAGGACATACAGCTGGATGTTCTTCCCATTGTCTGTATATTCAAAAGCAGAGCTTGATTCAAAGACTCTTGTGACACTGTGATATGACCCCTTTAAAAGCAGATGGGAGAGGAAAAAAGCAAATGATTGTATTTGGCCAAAATATTTACTTTCAGAATACATTTAAAATATTTTTGGAGAGAA